AAAAAAAAAAAATGCTATTAAATCAAAAATTACTGCTGTTTAGAGTGAAAGAAAATACTGCTAAAGAAAAATTTTTTTTTTTTTTAAATCTGGATTAAAAAAAATTTAAATTGTAAAATCTTTGTTTAGTTTGCAGAGCAGATTTTGAGAAATTTGATAACAAACTGAATGAAATTTGCTTTGAAATAGCAAAAGCAATTCAAGAAAGTGGTCTGTAATAATTGTTAATTTGATTAGCAAGTGTATCTATAGGTGTTTTGTAGAGATGGTAAGATACTTTAAATTTATGTCTGAAATTAGAAGAAATAGGAGATAGATACACTCACCGGCCACTTTATTAGGTCCACCTTACTAGTGCCAAGAAAATCTCCCCCACACTATTACCACCATTTTCAGAATTCATTTCTAGTCTAAATCTAAAAAAGTTCTGGCTATACATACACTTTACCTGTTTCTGGATAAGTATTCTGAATTTCTCCTTACATTCACCCTACTGTATTGAACATATATTGTAGTTTGATCTTACATTATTTTACTTTTGTAGGTGGGAATTCCAGAAGATGCAGTGAAGTGTGTTGTTCAGATCTCCAATGCTCTTGAATTCATGTCCGAGAAAGAACTGGTACACGTGGATTTGAAGCCAGAAATGTTTTGGTGTTCTACAAGGAGTGCCATTGCATCAAGATCAGACTTTGGCCTTGCGAAGGTCAGAGGGACAGTGATAACATCCAGGTGTGGCAGCAAATCCTACATGGCCCCAGAAATGTGTGTGACGTGTGACAATTTCAGATGGAATGGTGGTAGATGTCTGGACGTTTGGTGTCGTCTACATTCTTCTTACAGGGGGAGTTTCCATAGAGTGCAAATCTCCAATAGTGTCCAGAGTTTGAAAGCAGCCAGCACCCTAATGGTACAGATCTTTAAATGGAGTGTGTGTGTGAGACTGATCCTAGGTGCTTTTAAGGCTGTGTGCGGTCCCAGGAGGTGTGTGTTGGAGGGTTCCACCCCAGCAGGACAGGAGGTTATTGCCAGGAGTCAGGAATGCTCCACCTAGGAGAGTGTGGAAGCCAGATCAGCAAGGGGGGGCTGTGAGCTGTGTGCAAAAAAAAGCCATATTTTGGAAACTGCTGTGTGCTGGGGACTAGCCAGTGCTCTAGGAGACCCATATAAAAGATACTGCTAACCAGCAGGGAAGATGAGCCAGGGAGGAGGCTGAATATTTGTTTTTTTTTATGGTGAACACCCCCTACATGCCTGTAGGTACTGCAATGTGCACGGATTAGGGAATTACCTGTGTAGAGCACCGGCGCGCTGAAGGAATGGCATGCCTGTACCTTTCCTTCAAGGTTGTGTGCGGGAGTGACGTCATCGTGGCTCAGCTATTCAAGCTGCTGAAGCCCGCAAACCCAGACGAGGGACTGAGTGAAGATGGAAGCCCTGTCAGCAGTGACGGCATGCCGCTGGAGGGCATCTTAAGGTAAATTTCACGTAATGTGTTAGTATGCAATGGCTACTAGCACATTATGACATTGCCTCGCAGGGGAAAACTTTTTTTGAGAATTTACTACAGCTTTAAAAACATGACTGAGGAGAGGTTTAAAAAGTTAACCAATTGGAATGCTATAAATAGAGATGAGCGAAGAAATGAAAAATTCGATTTCGACTGATTCGATTCGAGTCGAATAAATTCGCTGTGAATTTAACTTAAAAAGGGTGTTTCTAGGCTTCAGAGAGACTTAATATTAGTGCAGAACACTGTACCTTTAATTTAAATGCCCTTGGAGTCTGCTGGGGAAGAGAAATAATACTGTCAGTCAGTATGACATGCAGATGAGTGCCGTCGATCTTAGAATCACCGCACACTTCACTCATTTGGGCAGTCACGGGGCCAAAACCAGAGTGTGGGAGCCACAGTGTGGCGGTGGAGGCAGCAGCAATGGGAGGCCATACAGCACCCTATGACAAAAATGGAAACCACCAGCAGTGTGAGGAGACCTGAAAGTGGCACATGGCAGAGTGTGGCGATAGAGACAGCAGCAATGGGAGGCCGTACAGGGACCCATGACACACTCTGGACCTGGCAGCAGCATGAGGAGGAGGGTACAGGGGCCCATGACAGATTACGGGCCTGGCAGCAGCATGAGGAGTCGGTACAGGGGCCCATGGCAGATTACGGGCCTGGCAGCAGCAATGGGAGGCCGTACAGGGACCCATGACACACTCTGGACCTGGCAGCAGCATGGGGAGGCGGTACAGGGGCCCATGACAGATTACGGGCCTGGCAGCAGCATGAGGAGTCGGTACGGGGGCCCATGACACACTCTGGACCTGGCAGCAGCATGAGGAGGCGGTACAGGGGCGCATGACAGATTACGAGCCTGGCAGCAGCAACTTGGACAGGAGGACGTTCAGCTTCTGCACCGTCGGGTGCGTGCTCGCAAACTGTTGTCTCTTGGAAACGGATTCCAAGAAAGACTGCTGACGGAATCCGTGAAGAGGAGTAGCAGGAGAAGGAGCATCTGAACGAGCGGAATATGCCAACAAGCGACAACAGTGGCCCATGACAGAATTACGGGCCTGGCAGCAGCATGAGGAGTCGGTACGGGGGCCCATGGCAGATTACGGGCCTGGCAGCAGCTATGGGAGGCCCGTAATCTGCCAGCACCCTATGACAAAAAATGGAACCCACCAGCAGTGTGAGGAGACCTGAAAGTGGCACATGGCAGAGTGTGGCGATGGAGACAGCAGCAATGGGAGGCCGTACAGGGACCCATGAGAGACTCTGGACCTGGCAGCAGCATGAGGAGGCGGTATAGGGGCCCATGGCAGATTAGGGGCCTGGCAGCAGCTATGGGAGGCCCGTAATCTGCCAGCACCCTATGACAAAAAATGGAACACACACCAGCAGTGTGTGAGGAGACCTGAAAGTGGCACATGGCAGAGTGTGGCGATGGAGGCAGCAGCAATGGGAGGCCGTACAGGGACCCATGAGAGACTCTGGACTTGGCAGCAGCATGAGGACCCAGTAGTCAAGGGGATTGTCTACCTCGGTTGGCAGGGTGCTGTCCAAGTAGGCCTAAGCCTGTTGTTTGAGGTCCTGCTCCCAGGTCCACCTGATGCTGCTGCTGCTGCTGCGGCTGGTTAGTAGTTTCCTCACTGCGCTGGTGAAGAAAGCTACTCATCATCGACTGCAGACTGAGGCAGCCGCTGCTGGTGGAGCTGCCACTGCTCCTACCACCCCCCACCCCTCCCCTGCTGCCATGGCAGCGGAACACGAGCGCACAGGGCCCACAGTGTCTGAGGATGGACGTTGGCGCAGACAGGCAGAGACCAGCTGACTACATAGGTGTTTTTTTTATAGTACGTTATTTTGGCCTCCCTCTCAGCAGGTGTGAAAAAGGCCACCATTTTTGAACGGTAGCGAGGGTCCAACAAGGTGGACAGCCAAAAGTCATCCCTCTGTCTGATGGTTATTATTCGGCTGTCGCTACGCAAGCAACGAGCATGCTATGGGCCATTTGTGCCAAGGAATGCGAGGGACTCCCTGCCTCCATCTCCACAGCATACTGCCACGGTGCGTCTAGGTCCTCTGTCTCCTCTTCCTCCTCCTCTACCAGATGCTCCTGCTCCTCCACTCCTGTCCGCTGAGTGGAAAAACCACCCATTTCACTCAATAATTCCTGAGCACCAATGTCCTCCTCTACCTCCTCCTCTTCTTCCAGTCCTGCCCCCACAGGGGCCATGTGGCGTTGAGATCTGTGCGCCACGTCTACCGCACCCTGACCAGCCATTGTTAACAGCATTTGTTCCAGGACGTGCAACAGAGGAATGACGTCGTTCATCCCATAGTCCTGCCGACTCACGAATAGCGTGGCCTCCTCAAAGGGCCTGAGCAAGCGCAGGTGTCACGCATGAGCTGCCAATGGCTGACATCTAAGTTACACAGGGAGTACCTTTATCTGCTTTTAACATCAGGAAATCTGTGATGGCCTTTTGCTGTTCGTAAAGGCGGTCTAAACATATGTAGGGTTGAATTCCACCTTGTTGCAACGTCACAGATGAGGAGTCGGTATAGGGGCCCATGGCAGATTAGGGGCCTGGCAGCAGTTATGGGAGGCCCATAATCTGCCAGCACCCTATGACAAAAAATGGAACACACCAGCAGTGTGAGGAGACCTGAAAGTGGCACATGGCAGAGTGTGGCGATGGAGACAGCAGCAATGGGAGGCCGTACAGGGACCCATGAGAGACTCTGGACCTGGCAGCAGCATGAGGAGGCGGTATATAGGGGCCTACGGCAGATTAGGGGCCTGGCAGCAGCTATAGGAGGCCCGTAATCTGCCAGCACCCTATGTCAAAAAATTCAACACACCAGCAGTGTGTGAGGAGACCTGAAAGTGGCACATGGCAGAGTGTGGCGATGGAGACAGCAGCAATGGGAGGCCGTACAGGGACCCATGACAGACTCTGGACTTGGCAGCAGCATGAGGAGGCGGTATATAGGGGCTTATGGCAGATTAGGGGCCTGGCAGCAGCTATAGGAGGCCCGTAATCTGCCAGCACCCTATGTCAAAAAATTCAACACACCAGCAGTGTGAGGAGACCTGAAAGTGGCACATGGCAGAGTGTGTGGCGATGGAGACAGCAGCAATGGGAGGCCGTACAGGGACCCATGACAGACTCTGAACTTGGCAGCAGCATGAGGAGGGCGGTATATAGGGGCCCATGGCAGATTAGGGGCCTGGCAGCAGCTATAGGAGGCCCGTAATCTGCCAGCACCCTATGTCAAAAAATTTAACACACCAGCAGTGTGAAGAGACCTGAAAGTGGCACATGGCAGCAGAGTGTGGCGATGGAGACAGCAGCAATGGGAGGCCGTACAGGGACCCATGACAGACTCTGGACTTGGCAGCAGCATGAGGAGGCGGTATATAGGGGCCCATGGCAGATTAGGGGCCTGGCAGCAGCTATGTGAGGCCCGTAATCTGCCAGCACCCTATGTCAAAAAATTTAACACACCAGCAGTGTGAAGAGACCTGAAAGTGTGGCACATGGCAGCAGAGTGTGGCGATGGAGACAGCAGCAATGGGAGGCCGTACAGGGACCCATGACAGACTCTGGACTTGGCAGCAGCATGAGGAGGCGGTATATAGGGGCCCATGGCAGATTAGGGGCCTGGCAGCAGCTATGTGAGGCCCGTAATCTGCAGCACCCTATGTCAAAAAATTTAACACACCAGCAGTGTGAAGAGACCTGAAAGTGGCACATGGCAGCAGAGTGTGGCGATGGAGACAGCAGCAATGGGAGGCCGTACAGGGACCCATGAGAGACTCTGGACTTGGCAGCAGCAGCATGAGGAGGCGGTATATAGGGGCCCATGGCAGATTAGGGGCCTGGCAGCAGCTATGTGAGGCCCGTAATCTGCCTGCACCCTATGTCAAAAAATTTAACACACCAGCAGTGTGAAGAGACCTGAAAGTGGCACATGGCAGCAGAGTGTGGCGATGGAGACAGCAGCAATGGGAGGCCGTACAGGGACCCATGACAGACTCTGGACTTGGCAGCAGCATGAGGAGGCGGTATATAGGGGCCCATGGCAGATTAGGGGCCTGGCAGCAGCTATGTGAGGCCCGTAATCTGCCTGCACCCTATGTCAAAAAATTTAACACACCAGCAGTGTGAAGAGACCTGAAAGTGGCACATGGCAGCAGAGTGTGGCGATGGAGACAGCAGCAATGGGAGGCCGTACAGGGACCATGACAGACTGGACTTGGCAGCAGCATGAGGAGGCGGTATATAGGGGCCCATGGCAGATTAGGGGGGCCTGGGCAGCAGCTATGTGAGGCCCGTAATCTGCCTGCACCCTATGTCAAAAAATTTAACACACCAGCAGTGTGAAGAGACCTGAAAGTGGCACATGGCAGCAGAGTGTGGCGATGGAGACAGCAGCAATGGGAGGCCGTACAGGGACCCATGAGAGACTCTGGACTTGGCAGCAGCATGAGGAGGCGGGGCGGTGGTATATAGGGGCCCATGGCAGATTAGGGGCCTGGCAGCAGCTATGTGAGGCCCGTAATCTGCCTGCACCCTATGTCAAAAAATTTAACACACCAGCAGTGTGAAGAGACCTGAAAGTGGCACATGGCAGCAGAGTGTGGCGATGGAGACAGCAGCAATGGGAGGCCGTACAGGGACCCATGACAGACTCTGGACTTGGCAGCAGCAGCAGAGGAGGCGGCGGTATATAGGGGCCCATGGCAGATTAGGGGCCTGGCAGCAGCTATGTGAGGCCCGTAATCTGCCTGCACCCTATGTCAAAAAATTTAACACACCAGCAGTGTGAAGAGACCTGAAAGTGGCACATGGCAGCAGAGTGTGGCGATGGAGACAGCAGCAGCAATGGGAGGCCGTACAGGGGGACCATGACAGACTCTGGACTTGGCAGCAGCATGAGGAGGCGGGCGGTATATAGGGGCCCATGGCAGATTAGGGGCCTGGCAGCAGCTATGTGAGGCCCGTAATCTGCCTGCACCCTATGTGTCAAAAAATTTAACACACCAGCAGTGTGAAGAGACCTGAAAGTGGCACATGGCAGCAGAGTGTGGCGATGGAGACAGCAGCAATGGGAGGCCGTACAGGGACCCATGAGAGACTCTGGACTTGGCAGCAGCAGCATGAGGAGGCGGTATATAGGGGCCCATGGCAGATTAGGGGCCTGGCAGCAGCTATGTGAGGCCCGTAATCTGCCTGCACCCTATGTCAAAAAATTTAACACACACAGCAGTGTGAAGAGACCTGAAAGTGGCACATGGCAGCAGAGTGTGGCGATGGAGACAGCAGCAATGGGAGGCCGTACAGGGACCATGACAGACTCTGGACTTGGCAGCAGCAGCAGCAGAGGAGGCGGTATATAGGGGCCCATGGCAGATTAGGGGCCTGGCAGCAGCTATGTGAGGCCCGTAATCTGCCTGCACCCTATGTCAAAAAATTTAAAAATTTAACACACCAGCAGTGTGTGAGAGACCTGAAAGTGGCACATGGCAGCAGAGTGTGGCGATGGAGACAGCAGCAATGGGAGGCCGTACAGGGACCCATGAGAGACTCTGGACTTGGCAGCAGCATGAGGAGGCGGTATATAGGGGCCCATGGCAGATTAGGGGCCTGGCAGCAGCTATGTGAGGCCCGTAATCTGCCTGCACCCTATGTCAAAAAATTTAAACACACCAGCAGTGTGAAGAGACCTGAAAGTGGCACATGGCAGCAGAGTGTGGCGATGGAGACAGCAGCAATGGGAGGCCGTACAGGGACCCATGACAGACTCTGGACTTGGCAGCAGCATGAGGAGGCGGGTATATAGGGGCCCATGGCAGATTAGGGGCCTGGCAGCAGCTATGTGAGGCCCGTAATCTGCCTGCACCCTATGTCAAAAAATTTAACACACCAGCAGTGTGAAGAGACCTGAAAGTGGCACATGGCAGCAGAGTGTGGCGATGGAGACAGCAGCAATGGGAGCGTACAGGGACCCATGAGAGACTCTGGACTTGGCAGCAGCAGCAGAGGAGGCGGTATATAGGGGCCCATGGCAGATTAGGGGCCTGGCAGCAGCTATGTGAGGCCCGTAATCTGCCTGCACCCTATGTCAAAAAATTTAACACACCAGCAGTGTGAAGAGACCTGAAAGTGGCACATGGCAGCAGAGTGTGGCGATGGAGACAGCAGCAATGGGAGAGGCCGTACAGGGACCATGACAGACTCTGGACTTGGCAGCAGCAGCAGAGGAGGAGGGTATATAGGGGCCCATGGCAGATTAGGGGCCTGGCAGCAGCTATGTGAGGCCCGTAATCTGCCTGCACCCTATGTCAAAAAATTTAACACACCAGCAGTGTGAAGAGACCTGAAAGTGGCACATGGCAGCAGAGTGTGGCGATGGAGACAGCAGCAATGGGAGGCCGTACAGGGACCATGACAGACTCTGGACTTGGCAGCAGCATGAGGAGGCGGTATATAGGGGCCCATGGCAGATTAGGGGCCTGGCAGCAGCTATGTGAGGCCCGTAATCTGCAGCACCCTATGTCAAAAAATTTAACACACAGCAGTGTGAAGAGACCTGAAAGTGGCACATGGCAGCAGAGTGTGGCGATGGAGACAGCAGCAATGGGAGGCCGTACAGGGACCCATGAGAGACTCTGGACTTGGCAGCAGCATGAGGAGGCGGGTATATAGGGGCCCATGGCAGATTAGGGGCCTGGCAGCAGCTATGTGAGGCCCGTAATCTGCCTGCACCCTATGTCAAAAAATTTAACACACCAGCAGTGTGAAGAGAGACCTGAAAGTGGCACATGGCAGCAGAGTGTGGCGATGGAGACAGCAGCAATGGGAGGCCGTACAGGGACCATGACAGACTCTGGACTTGGCAGCAGCAGCATGAGGAGGGGGTATATAGGGGCCCATGGCAGATTAGGGGCCTGGCAGCAGTTTTAACACACCAGCAGTGTGAAGAGACCTGAAAGTGGCACATGGCAGCAGAGTGTGGCGATGGAGACAGCAGCAATGGGAGGCCGTACAGGGACCCATGAGAGACTCTGGACTTGGCAGCAGCAGCAGGGAGGCGGTATATAGGGGCCCATGGCAGATTAGGGGCCTGGCAGCAGCTATGTGAGGCCCGTAATCTGCCTGCACCCTATGTCAAAAAATTTAACACACCAGCAGTGTGAAGAGACCTGAAAGTGGCACATGGCAGCAGAGTGTGGCGATGGAGACAGCAGCAATGGGAGGCCGTACAGGGACCCATGACAGACTCTGGACTTGGCAGCAGCATGAGGAGGCGGGGTATATAGGGGCCCATGGCAGATTAGGGGCCTGGCAGCAGCTATGTGAGGCCCGTAATCTGCCTGCACCCTATGTCAAAAAATTTAACACACCAGCAGTGTGAAGAGACCTGAAAGTGGCACATGGCAGCAGAGTGTGGCGATGGAGACAGCAGCAATGGGAGGCCGTACAGGGACCATGAGAGACTCTGGACTTGGCAGCAGCATGAGGAGGCGGTATATAGGGGCCCATGGCAGATTAGGGGCCTGGCAGCAGCTATGTGAGGCCCGTAATCTGCCTGCACCCTATGTCAAAAAATTTAACACACCAGCAGTGTGAAGAGACCTGAAAGTGGCACACATGGCAGCAGCAGAGTGTGGCGATGGAGACAGCAGCAATGGGAGGCCGTACAGGGACCCATGAGAGACTCTGGACTTGGCAGCAGCAGCAGAGGAGGCGGTATATAGGGGCCCATGGCAGATTAGGGGCCTGGCAGCAGCTATGTGAGGGCCGTTAATCTGCCTGCACCCTATGTCAAAAAATTTAACACACCAGCAGTGTGAAGAGACCTGAAAGTGGCACATGGCAGCAGAGTGTGGCGATGAGACAGCAGCAATGGGAGGCCGTACAGGGACCATGAGAGACTCTGGACTTGGCAGCAGCATGAGGAGGCATGAGGAGGCGGTTATATAGGGGCCCATGGCAGATTAGGGGCCTGGCAGCAGCTATGTGAGGCCCGTAATCTGCCTGCACCCTATGTCAAAAAATTTAACACACACCAGCAGTGTGAAGAGACCTGAAAGTGGCACATGGCAGCAGAGTGTGGCGATGGAGACAGCAGCAATGGGAGGCCGTACAGGGACCCATGAGAGACTCTGACTTGGCAGCAGCATGAGGAGGCGGTATATAGGGGCCCATGGCAGATTAGGGGCCTGGCAGCAGCTATGTGAGGCCCGTAATCTGCCTGCACCCTATGTCAAAAAATTTAAAAACACGATTCATTTTCACAAACGTGAGTCTCTCCACACTTTGGGTGGACAGTCGTGTCCTCCGCGGAGTTACAATACCTCCTGCCGCACTAAACACGCGCTCCGATGCCACGCTACTGGCCGGGCATGACAGCCTTTCAAGGGCAAATTCAGCTAGTTGGGGCCAAAGGTCAAGTTTCGTTGCCCAGTAGTCAAGGGGATTGTCTACCTCGGTTGGCAGGGTGCTGTCCAAGTAGGCCCAAGCCTGTTGTTTGAGCTCCTGCTCCAGGTCCACACCTGATGCTGCTGCTGCTGCTGCGGCGGCTGGTTAGTAGTTTCCTCACTGCGCTGGTGAAGAAAGCTACTCATCATCGACTGCAGACTGAGGCAGCCGCTGCTGGTGGAGCTGCCACTGCTCCTACCACCCCACCCCTCCCCTGCTGCCATGCCAGCGGAACGCGAGCGCACAGGGCCACAGTGTCTGAGGATGGCCGTTGGCGCACAAAGAGACCAGGACCCAACTGACTACGATAGGTGGTTTTTTATAGTACGTAATTTTGGCCTCCCTCTCAGCAGGTGTGAAAAAGGCCACCATTTTGGACCGGTAGCGAGGGTCCAACAAGGTGGACAGCCAAAAGTCATCCCTCTGTCTGATGGTTATTATTCGGCTGTCGCTACGCAAGCAACCGAGCATGCTATGGGCCATTTGTGCCAAGGAATGCGAGGGACTCCCTGCCTCCATCTCCACAGCATACTGCCCACGGTGCGTCTGGGTCCTCTGTCCTCTCCTCCTCCTCCTCTACCAGATGCTCCTGCTCCTCCACTCCTGTCACGCTGAGTGGAAAAAACCACCCATTTCACTCAATAATTCCTGAGCACAAATGTCCTCCTCTACCTCCTCCTCTTCTTCCTGTCCTGCCCCCACAGGGGTCATGTGGCGTTGAGATCTGTGCGCCACGTCTACCGCACCCTGACCAGCCATTGTTAACAGCATTTGTTCCAGGACGTGCAACAGAGGAATGACCGTCGTTCATCCCATAGTCCTGCCGACTCACGAATAGCGTGGCCTCCTCAAAGGGCCTGAGCAAGCGGCAGGTGTCACGCATGAGCTGCCAATGGCTGACATCTAAGTTACACAGGGGAGTACCTTTATCCGCTTGTTAACATCAGGAAATCGGTGATGGCCTTTCGCTGCTCGTAAAGGCGGTCTAACATGTGTAGGGTTGAATTCCACCTTGTTGCAACGTCGCAGATCAGGCGATGCTGTGGGAATTCCGTTCTGCCGCTGCAGCTCAATGAGGGTGTTCTTTGCGGTGTAAGGAATGGCTGAAATGCATGCACAGTTTTGACGATGACATTTTCTAGGATGATCTTGCACATTGAAGGTGGATTTTAGGGAACCCGCCTTGACAACCCGATTGAACACGACTGACACTGCCATAGCATGGCGCCATGGCACAAACCTTCCTTGACGCAGAGCCAGAACACCCATGAGTCTTTCCGTTGTCAGTACAAACATGGTTCCGATTTTTAAGTTTGCGCGGAGGACA